CTGCTCCTTCCCACTCATCCCTCCCTGGATCTCTCTGTTGACTGCTTTTCCTTTCTCTCATCCCAGAAGGGGCATGCTGCAGGGTGGCATGCGATGGGCGTTGTAAGAAGGGATTTTCATTTGCCTCTTTTTTTGCTGAGTTTCACACATGGCTGGCTATCATTTCCTTTTACAGTGTGCTACAAGTTCAAGCCACTCTCATAACTTCTACCTGCTTTTCCCCTGCCAGCACTGGAGGCTAAATATAAGCTCTGGGAGCTGGCCCCGCGTCCCTGCCCATATCTGGCAGCGCCCGGCGTTCCAGCGCGGTTCCACACAGCCGATGCTTTTCACGAACTTGGCAGCTGGAGACAGCCACTTCTCCCCGAGTAAGCTGCATTCATTTCTGAAGGAACAGCAAACACATTGCTAGTTTGCAGTGCAGAGGGCTATGTTGCAATTTTCTTTTGAGTGCCTAGGTTCCACTCTGCCTCTGGGAAGGAGAAAAAGTCACGCCAAAAACTTGTTCAGACAGCGTGCTGGTTGTTGTCCAATGATTTGTTTGGTAACACTGTGATATTTTGAGGAAAACATTATTTTTAAAGGTTTGGCAGTTTTTAAACAGCATTTAATATGTAAGGGAAACTTATGATGGATATATTAGCATCTGTGCCAGACCAAACATCTGCAGTTTTTAATGAAGAAGGCAATAGGAAGTCAGATTTTTAATTCTGTTTTTCAGCTGACACTATAAATCAGCTATTTTAAACCCAACCTAGTTGTAGAATTAATTTTTTTTTTGTTCCTATGGTCAAAAATGAACATCCCTAATTCAGCAAAGTATTCACAAGATCTAGACATGCCAGCAAACTTGTCCCTAAATTAATTGTTTGCACACTGTGGATGTGGATGGCAGTTTGAAAAAAACACAGGGACATAAGCTAATTCATACTATGTCCAGATGAATGGTGGGAGCCTCCTAATTTCCCCAGGTTTTAGGCTTGACTTTCAAGTCAGAAGTACCTGTCTTAATCTATAACTGGAGAGGAGCAGTTCCCAGTTTGATTTGACAAGATATCCCAGAGAAAAGAGTGGCTGCAGCCAGCCTGGACTCTGCTGCCTCAGTGGGGTTCAGGCCAGCCCCAGCCCCAGCTCACAGCTGGACCTCCAGGCACCAAAGGGAATCTTCAATCTTTTAGTATCTGCTGGAGAACTGGCAACATTCCTCCTGGCTTCAGTTTTTGCCATTGAGTTAGAAATCAAGGACAGCAAAAAAGAAAACCTGCCTCACCATAAAAATCATCACAGTAGTGACATACTCAGACTATGTAGAGTCATCTTTTGTAAGATGGGTTACAGTAATCTGGCTTAATTAAAAGTAAAATAAATTAAAATAAACTACCATGATTAAAACCGAAGTATGAAGTGTTTAAACTGGCATGTCATATTTAACAGGTGGAGTAGGAGTAAAAGATATTCCTGCCTACAGTTACACAGCCTGAGCTTAAGACTGTAATTTGGTAAGTCATGGTAATTTAGTAACTTTTAAAATTCCCTGTTGATGCAAAAGCTGAGGATTCAACATCCACAGAGGCTGGTACCCTTGTATGTTTTTGGAAATGGCTGATGAATAAGGGATGTCAAAGAAAACAGGATGAATGGAAGAAGTATTACAAAGCACTTTGATCAGACTATTTTCCAGACATAGTGCCTATATTTTTACAATGGGCTTGTGACTGGACAACCTATTCAGAAAGTAATTCTTGAAAATATGAAAAGGCTGATAATTGCAAGACATTGCTGACCAGCTAATACATCTTGGAGACAGTGATGGTCTCCAGACAAACTTATTGAGGAGAAATGGTGTGAGACAAACAAGCTATAATTCAGCAAGGACAGGGGCAAACTTCTACATGTAGTTTGGAATAAATGACTGTGAAAACAGGGTAGAAAATGACATGGAGGATCTGTGAATTACCATGTACCACCAACCAAATGCCAGCCATTTCATACTGCTGAGGAAAAAATGAATGACATATGGCGATGTATGAACAGCAGTGCCATATGCAAGATGTGAAAAATCATCCTCCTACTCTACGTGCTGCTGAAAGCCTCAGTCTGAATCCTGTGCCTGGATTTAGGCACCACACATGGAAGATGTGGAATGGTCAAAAGTAAGAAGATTGCTGGAAGTCTGATAAACACAGTCTGAGGAAAGCTGGGAAGAAAAGAAAGAAGACCAGTCTTCTGTGAGAGTGAGAGTGGTACCAAATATGCAAAGAAAAAGAAAATAATTTATTTTCCAGATGCAATGGATAAATAAGGAGGACAGCTAAGTTGCAAAAGGGGAACTCAGGTTAGACATGATGCAAATGCTGCAGTGGTTGTGCGGTGAAACACAGGAGGAAGTGGTCCAAGGAGGAGACAAAGTGCATGATGAAAACTATTTGTTATGAAAGATGTAATCTCATCCTGTGTCAAATGATGTCTGGAGAGTGTCCCCCCGCCTCCGCAACGCTGATGAAAAGTTAAAAATCCTCAGCTGCTACAAACCAGGGAAACTTCATTAATGATGTATACCAGGAAAGGGGCTGTGCCTGAAATGTGTCCGGTGTAATCATTTTTTCTATCTCATTTCTGCTTTTAGCCATGAGATTATGAGTAATAGATACAGGGCTACATCGTTAGCCAGAAATCCTTTAGCTTTCTAAAGGTCAGTTAATCTATGATCTAATCTGATGGTCACTGAAATTAAGTGGAAGCAGTTCAGTGGGCTGTAATGGAGGGTTCTTGCTGTCTGTAGCCTTCAGTTGCCTTGACTTAAAACATCCTTTATGAGTAAAACAACATCTAGGTATGAAATATATTTCAAAATGCATGAATCTTTACTTTGTACTTCAGGAAGAAAAAAAAGGGCCAACCTGCCTTTCTAGCTATCTGCCAGTTTAAAACAGTAAAACGGTTCTGCCAGTTTAAAACAGTAAAACAGTTCTCATTTAAAACTCCAAAATGCTGTCAGTGCCTTCTGTTCACCTGTTGATATTCCCATCCCTTGGGAGGTTTTATGCAGCTGGGGAAGCGGGCAAGATTTACAGGAACTTGGCTGCTCTATCTTCACTTGCTCACAGTGGGAGCTCAGCTGCCCTTTTAAGAGTGGAATACTTCAACCAAGAAATCGCAAAAAAAAAAAATCAGGAAAAAGAAAAAAAAATGAAAGAAAAGCAGAGTTGACTATACAGCTTGGCACTTAAAGGAGCACTAAAATAGACATGTGAAACTTTTCATAGTTATCTGTAAATCTTTGAGGATTTCAAGTGTCAGCATTGTCACTACTAGTAAATTAAAGATCTGAAAGGTTGTCCCAGCGAGCAGATATTTGATTCCTGAACAAAGCTAGTATTTCATATTTTTGAATCACCTTTCCCACGTACTTTCACTTCATAAGTCTGGACTTTAGACTGCTTTTCTGCTACTCCTGTAACACGTCTGAAAATCCCCTCCTATCTAAAGTTACACTTAATATACACTACTTAGTTTGAAGAATTGAATTTTATAATACATGAACAGGCATAAAAACCCACCAAAGAAACCAGAGACTCAGGTCAGAAAGATACCCTGCTTTTGACTCTGACTTTTTTGTGCTGCATTTCCTCTAGATTACAATGTAGTTTAATTTTCATGGATGTCATCTGAAAATGACAGCCGATGTAATGTAGCTGGATTCTGTTTGTCACAGAATATATTCTGTATGTTAACTGGTAGTGTGATGCACTGAACCATAGTCTTTAATTAAAGTGCAACAATACCACAGTGCAGCAGCACTACAGTACCAGCACAGCCCAGGAACCTGGTGCTGGATATAAAAATAGCTGTGCTCAAAACGTGTCATATCACTACATGATGTGACTAAGTCAGTGGAGACACTCTTACACTTGAAACCTGAAGTATTACTGAACACTGATTTTCAGCTGGGGAAGCTGTGATAAAATCAATGCATGTATTATTCTCCACAAATGAATGATGGCGTGAACAAGGACATATTAAACACCTACAGTGCACAAAGCTTTTCACACTGGTTATGAACCAAAAACAAACAAAGAGGCTGTGAACTCTCCAGAGCTCTTGTTTTGTCTCCCGTGAAGTCCTCCTGCCTCTTTGGGTATAATATGCAGAATTCCCACAAATGCCCTGGTGCCAGCAGGAGAGGGCTCTGACTTTGGTTTGGGAGCAAGATGACCAGACTTCTGTCCTCCCTTTTCCTACCCTCGACGAAAACAAAACAAAACTGAAACCACTCCACACTCCACAGTGAGTGAAGGTGGTACAAAACCCAGGGAGATAAAGATGTCTCTGCTGGCACAGGAGCCAGGGAGCAGCCAGTGCTGCTTCCCTTCACAACCCTCTGCCATGGGATGTGCTGGTGCTGAGCCTGCTGGTCCATCCCTGACCAGGGGTACCAAAGTTCTCTCCCCCAGGGCTGTGAAACTCTCCCTGTGCTTCCTCAGCCAACATAGGGACTTCTGGAGAAGTGCAACCCAGAACAACCACCGCTCTTATCCCACAGGATAAGCCAGGACAGCATCGCTCTGGTCTCCAGAGGAGCCAGCACTCCCTAAATGCCCAACATGGGCAGCCCTTTGATTTGCCAGCACAGCTGATGCTGTCAGTGTTGTATAGGGACCACTGCAAAGGTCTCCCTCCAAAGCCAGAATCAAACATCCACAGAGAAGCAGCAGCTGGGCTCCCTCTCTGCAAAACGCACAGCATTTGCACATCTTTGTTCCTTGCTGCTGCACAGGCCCCACATCCCACAGCATTGTGCTATGCCATACTGGAGCCCCACGCATGATTTTAACATCCAGGCACCGTAAAAACAGTTTAGGAAAAGAGGCAGTGTGCATTTGGCATGGGGCAGTGCTGCAGGAATGAGAAAACAGGAACCATGCAGTGATGCTTGTCTGCTTGCTGGGAAATGCGTCAGGAAGGCACAAACACACAAAAGAGAGAGAGGAGATAGTTACCTAACATGACGAAGGGGATTCCCAGGAAGGTGGAATTGTATTTCCCACCAGTGAGATTGATGATCCCAGCAGCAGTCAGGGTGGCAAGGGTCACTGTCAGCAATCCCAGCAGGCCAAGCCAGGGTTTGCTGCGGACACAATCCTGCATGGAGCAGCAGAGAATGGCCAAGGTGACCACAAGGACCAAGCTTGTGATCAGGTAGCGTTCTGACACCCTGCTCGTCTTCTGGAAATCCTCCTTCAGCGAAGAGGAAGTGAAAGGATACATTTTGACTTTCCTGTTGGATTTCTGGAAAAGTTCAACAGTGTCACAAAAAATGGACTCCCACTTCTCTGCCACCATGTCATTCAAGGAGTTGATTGCCTGCAAGTAGTAGGTGAGCTGAATGGCTTCTGCAGACTTCACCCGGTCCTTGCTGTGCACAGTAACCCCACCGAGCTGATGCCCATTGTACACTTCCCTGCCATCCTTTAAGTGAGTAATCGGATAAGTGATTGCAAAATTAGTTCGATTAGAAGAACGAGCAGCCTTTAATTCCTCCAGTACATGCACTATGTCGTCCACTATGCATGTCTTGTCATTGTTCAGGATACATATATGGGCAAACGTGTAATTGAAACCAGGTCTTTGAACTTGGATCCTGGTCACTGCAGAGTGCAACTACAAGGGAAAGAGAAATCACACACGTTATTCATCAGTTCATCTCGCACAGCAGCAGCCAGAACGACAGCAGCTCCTCACCGCCGTCCCTTTTCTATTTCACCTAAGCAACACCAACAAAAGTTCTGGTGACTGCAGTATTAACAGCACACTCATTGCAAAAAAAAGAAAAAAATAGGAAACATGCATTAAATCAGCAGTATTATTCCCCTGTGTCCTTTGCTGGTAACTCTGGCATAACGTGACGTGTGTATGTGCCACGTGCAGCTGCTGTTTGGCCTCTCTAAATAAGTAAACTCAACAGGTCCAGCTAAAGCCCAGCCACGTCCAGGGACACTGTTGTGCTCAGGATTGCCCAATTACCCTCTCAAGAGATCAGCTCGAAGTGCAGAAGGCAGAAGAGCACCGTGACCAGGTGTGCCAGCTGTGCAGGATGCGCTGGCAGTGCAGGGACCAGCACAGGCCACAGCTGCATGTCCTACGAATAGAGACCATTGGCACAGCAGGGAAAAGAGGTCTGGCAATAAGTAATTTGTCCTCTTTTCTCCTCCCTTTTACCCCCATCAAATCCTCAGCAGTCTGAGAGCAGGAAGCAATGGCACAGACAGACACTGGTTTTCATTTGCTCTCTCTGAGAGGTTCTGTTAATTAGTGAGGTCCCCTAACTTTAGGGTTTGTAGGTTATTTTTGGGTCCAGCAGCTCTTAGTGGACCTTCCCTTTTGTTTCTCATCCTTCTGAAATTTGCCATGCCTGAGCTCTGATCCCAAAACGATTCAGTTATTTTTGAGCATCAGAAAGGCAGAAAAAAATAACATCTCTTCTTGAAAAGTATAGAAAACTCTTGCAACGTTTTCTGAATCTATTTTAGTCAACATAGAAGAAACCAGAAATTCAAAATATGGCAAAAGAATGGCCCAAATATGCTACGGTTACAATGTTTTCAAAAATAAAATATTGAATTTGCTTCTGTGTATCACTCTGTCTGAAGATAAACCCTTTAAAAAATAGAAGATAGTGTACAGGAGAGCAGTAGAGCTTATACACTCTTCTGGGGGCAATGGAAAAATGTCTAATAATCCTGGCTAACCTCCTGTATCTGTTGCAACTAAACAGTTATAGAGACTTTTGTGTGGTATTTGAGACTTATTTGCGGCACCCCACCCAGCCACCCTTCCCCCTCCTAATTTATATGGTACCTAATTTATATGGTACTATCAATCTGATTGTTTTGTGATTACATTGCACACTCTGTGATGTGTATAAATTTAGTTATGTTGTCTCCATTCCTCAGGACAATGTGACATCATATAGACAAAGGTTACAACATTCCTATATTCTCATCTTGTTTCTCTAGCAGCTTGGGGGTGTGTTTTTCCACCTTTGAGTAGTTTTAATTTTTTCAGAAACAACAGTTCAATACTTATGTTAGGAAGATAAGTTTGAGAAATGAACTGAACTAACAAATCTTGTCACAGTACTGTGAGAACATGATACCTGGCCATGGTGAGAAGCAAAATTTTCCATTGTGGTGGGAGAAAAAAATGTAACTGTCTGTGCAACAGATTAGGGTCTTTTGCACAACTTTCTTATAAAACAAAATGAAATAAAGTATTTGCAGGGACATGGCAAAGAAATTAACCTCTACGGGGAATACTTCCTATGTTTTTCAGATTGGACTTGCAAAGTTCTGCTGTTTTGGGGTACAAATTCTATTGTACGTGACCACAGTTTGGGGAAAATGCCCTGATTTACCAGATCAAAGACAGATATCTGATTTTAATTTTTTTGCAATGGGAGCTACTGAATGGTTTTCATTGACAACAGCTATAAAATAAGACGTCACATAAAGAAGCCCAGCTGAGGGAAACCAGGAGGAATAGAAAGAATTTCCTGCCTTTATTAGATTCACAATACAACTGCTTCAGAGAGGATCTATGGAGTGACACAATGCAGAAGAAACTAAACTGACATGCAACTTTTATCAAACAGTGTGTGTTGCTATTTACCCACCCTGCCTCACTGCAGCATTTGCTTCCTTCCACATCTGAAGCACTTTGTTTTAATATTTAGGTTATAAAATAACCTTATCTATTACAGCTACTACTTCATCTTTAGTGAAGGGCTAGAAGCTAAATGTCATACCTACAATACTCCTTTCCTCTTGGAAATGATAATTTCAGGCTGAGGAGCTTGTTCTGCAGCAGTGGCCTGGTGCTGGGCTGGACCAAGCGCTGCGTGGAGAGGACCTGCCCATCCCACCTCGCAGCAATGGGGCTTTGGGGAAGAGAGGGAAGCAGGCAGACAGCTCTGTGTCCTGGCACATCCTGGCAGCTGAGCAGCCCCAGAGCTGGCTGCAAGCTTGTGCAGTTTAGAGCAGCTATGAGCTTTGCCAGTGGCCACAATGTTTGGTCTCAAATTGGAGGCAAACAGCCAAAGAAGAGGAAAGATTGCCATTCCCTCCATCCCAACAAAGTATGCTGAGAACTGCACCAGCATGCTCAAGGGTTCAGCACCAGGAATTCTGACCCAGACTTTCCTTCTCAAGACAAACACAACACTTTATCTGCAGTTTTTTCAGCCCTCTGCTGCCTCAGTGCAGGGCAGGGGTGTGCTGCAGCATGGCTGCAGGCTCTCTCTCCTTTCTCCCTTTGCTTGCCTGTGGCAACCTGTGAGCCACAGGATGCTGCCTCCTCCCTGGTGAGAGCTGCAGTCCCAGGGCACTCTCCTTTCTGCTGCCATGCTGGGAATTCAGCTGTGGCCACACAGATTTTTCCACCCATCCAGAGCCCACAGTCATAACCATGAGTGACTGACTTCCACAGAAAACAGAAGCTCCAAGAGCTTACAAGGGCACATCCTGTGAGTTCAAAGGATTGCACAGTCTGCAATTTGGCTTGCCTATGGTACACCAGGAGGTTCCCCAGGAAACTTTAGTCTGATGGTAAAGGCTGTTGTGTGATGGGGACAACATTAGCAATATGCTAATGAATAATGCATATTGCACTCCTCAGTGCAGAGGATTCTAATAGCAAGTAACCATTGAATAAACCTGGCACCTAGTCCTGGGACAAATGACTGACTACCAGATCCTCATTTATCCAGCTGTTCTTATCCTTACTCATCCTATTAGAAGAAAGGGAAATTTAAAGGAATAACAAAATCTGAATAAATGCTTCTTCTTGAAGGGAGACACGCATTGCTTGCTCATCACTCCCAGCTTTTTTAGCTAGCTAACAGTGCAAGGAACCAAAAAGCAGCTCACTGCTGAGATGCCAGAGCACTGCAGCATGAGAACTGCACAGCACCACCTAAGCTCCCTCACCACAGTGGCACATGGTCCCTGAAAGTGTTCAGACATGAAATAATAACATCCACTTCTTCCTTCTGCCATTATTTAAACAGTGATCATTTCTTGGACTTCCCCTCTCCCTTCCGAAAATGGTATTTATGTGTCCTGCACCACCTTAGAGATTTCTAGAACAGTGTTTTCCTTAAGTCTTTAGTAATTTCCATTTGCTAACATCTTGGTCTTGGTCTTTGCTTACTTTAAGTCCCATGCTCACTTGGTTATTTATTTTAGACAGAGAGGAATGATGGCTTCAACACGGAGACAAATCCCTTTCAGCAAATATCTCCAGGTGAGGGCTGTACTGGTCTCACACCTCCCCACCAAGCCATGTTTAAACCTGTGGCACAGCTGACAGATGAGAAGTGGTGAAATTGCACTTCCCTGCCAGCTGGTTCTGTCCATGGGCCCAGGAGGGGATGCCAGGAAGCAAAAATCCTTCCACTTATCCTGGGCTATGGCATTTGCACCAGGGCCTCACAGAGCCATGGCTGGAAGTTCTTCAAACTGTTTTATTTTTGCTGGTTCTCCTATCTCTGCCACCAGCACAGGAAGACAGGTGCTGGGAACCAGAGCCCCTCAGTTTGGGTGCCCTGGGATGGCCAAGCCCCACGCTGGGCTCTATGAGCCAGCTCTCCACTGTACACAACTTTCAGCAGTGCCATCAAAGCTGAGCCTGAAGGCAAAAGGGTTGTACTTGGAGATGTATGGTCAGGACAGAAAGGAAAGCTTGTTTTTATTCTTAAGTCCCTGCAAAAGATGCAGGAAGCTACAAGAAGGAGTGAGAAAAAAGTGCTTTGTCGAAAAATCCTTTAATTCGAAAGTGAGAAGGTATTGCCAGAATTTTGTTAATTTAATCAGGTAACAAAGAAGTCTGCAGCCTCCCTGTGAGGGAAACAGATCCCTTCCCAGCAGGGATGGGTTAGAATCTGCTGATTCATCTGCAAAATGGTCCAATCCCAGAAATCCTTTAAGCTCACATTACATAATTTCCTACCCCAATCAAATCTATGGGCAAAGGGGATGAGGACCTAACCACCAGTGTCCCACTTGGATCTCACCTTGCTGGTGGCACAGCTTTGCTCCCAGGGAAACTCCACAGTGACAGCCACAGCAAAATGCAATGGGACCATTCAGTCTTTAACAAGCTCCCATGCCCAGCTCATGAAAACACATCCTGACTCTCTTGGAAGCTGGGTCAGTCACAGACACCATTTTAAATCATAAGGATGTGTAAACTACCTCCTGCTTATCATATATACCTCAAAAATATGTTTGGTTTTGCTGCTGAGCAGTGATATGTGGTATTTATAGAGGACATAACTCACTGTAAGGACTCGACTATACTTTGTACTTGACATACAGTCAATGAATGGCCAATGAGACAAAACTAGCTAGATATATGGATGTCCTCCTGCACTGCCAATGATCTGGCAGGCAGATGTGTTTTACTCTCAGGAGCATCATCTTTGCAAAGCCGTATTACTTTGTTGTTGCTGCTATTATTTGACTTATTTAGTCTTGCAGTCTCCATCTGATGGTTCAAATCCGATATTAGCTTTGCTCTTCAGTGTTACCACTCTTAGAATATTTATGCTGTCATTTTCACCAAGTCTGTTTTTTCTGAGTCCTGGAGCCTGAAGTATTGCATTT